CCCCAACAACAAACCTTGGATCACCAAGAAGCTAAAGGAAATCCCTAACAAAAAAAAGAGGATTTTCTTCACCGGTTCTGCACAGGATAAGAAAGAAGTCAATAGGGAGGTCAAGAGGGCCATTAAAGCTGCTAAACTGAAATATAAAAACAATGTGGGAAAAAAAATTACCACAGGGGACCTTCACTCAGCCTGGCAGGGGCTCAAAACCATGGCTGCTGTGAATACTGTGGTCACCACCTCCAGAACCATCCAGTGGAGGGCAGCAACCCCACCTCCCTCCCTGACGACCTCAACGCTTTCTACACCAGGTCTGAGATGGACAATATCACCCAGCTTGAGGAGTCCAGATCCTCACTCAAACCTGGCAGCTCTGCACTCACCTTCCAGACCGAGGACGTGGTGAGAGCCCTCAGGAGGACCAGGGAGAGGAGCTCACCCGGCCCTGACAACATCAGTAGTAGAGTTCTGAGGCACTGTGCAGAGCAGCTAGGAAATGTGTTCCAGACTCTATTTCAACACTCACTTGACAGTCACACCGTCCCCCAGCTGTGGAAACACTCCACAGTTATCCCTGTCCCAAAAAGAAGCAACCCAAAGTCTCCTAATGATCTTCGTCCTGTAGCGCTCACCTCCTTGGTGATGAAGGCCATGGAGAAGATCAAAAAAGAGCACATTGTGAGAGCAACTGAGCTCCTGATGGATCCACCCCAGTTTGCTTATCGTGCACGCAGAGGCGCCGATGATGCAAAAATCTTCATCGTGGACTCCATCCACAAACATCTGGAGCTCCCCGACTCCTCCGACAGACTTCTGCTTGTTGACTTTTCATCAGTATTCAACACTCTGCAGCCTCACATCCTGGCTACTAAACTTTCCTCCCAATTTAATTTAGATGACCAGTTAACGCTGTGGATACTGGACTTTTTAACCAACAGGACTCAGAAAGTTCGGGTCAACAACTGTCCCTACGGTCTCCGTTCCACCTCCACCGGCTCCCCCCAGGGCTGTGTGCTCTCCCCCCTGCTCTACATCTTCTACACCGACGACTGCAGATCCACACATCCCAAATGTCACCTGGTGAAATACGCTGTTGATACAGTCCTCCTATCACTGCTGTCAGGCTCCTCACAACACCACGGACCTGCTCTTCAGGAGTTTGTAGAGTGGTGGGACAGCTCCAAACTTGAAATGAATGTGAGCAAAACCAAAGACGTGGCGGTGACCTTCTGCAGGAGGCAGAGGGATCCGGCTGCTTCAGTAACCACCATTATCCATGGGAACCCAGTGGAGGTAGTGGAGGAGTACAAGTATCTGGGAACCACCTTTGACAACCTCCTGAAATTCTCTGCTAACACAGAGAAATGCCACCAACGGCTATATCTCCTTAGGAAGCTCAACTCCTTTGGAGTCAGCTCCTCAGTCATGATGACTTTTTACTGTGCCTTCCTGGAAAGCATCATGACCTTCTCCATCACTTGCTGGTTCTACTCCCTTAGCCTCCAGAACAGGAACAACAGACTGCAGCACACTGCATCAGTGTGTTCCAAAATCATGGGCTTGCCTGTCAGAACTCTTGCTCAGGTATCAACAAGCCCTGAGACGGGCAGCCAAAATCCTCCACAACCCCTCTCACATTCTTCACCCCGCATTTCAATGGCTCCCCTCTGGGCGACGCCTCCACTGCATTTCCTGTAAGACTGAGAGGAGAAGAGCCAAAGCCATTCTGTCCCCAAAGCCATTCTGCTCTTTAACTCCAGCAGATAAGATAAGACCATCCCCCGTTAAACCTTCTCCTTGGGCTCTCCGTGTATTTAACTTTTATACAGACGACACTTTAGTCCCCTTATTCACTTACTCAGTGTTTTTTTGCATATTTTACTGTTTTATCCATCTTCTTGCTGCTTTATTACTTCCTTATTGCCTATTTATTCTATGTTCGAATGTCCAACATCATGCTGCTCTGCTGTTTTTTTTAATTGCCCCTCGGGGATAAATAAAGTTTTTCTGATTCTGATTAAGACTAGAACTACCAGGATTATCTGACCCCCTCAGCTCGACCAGAGATAGCCAAATGGCTCCTTGGTTTGAGAATCACAACTCAGCCACTGACAATTAGCTGCCTTTCATTTGTAAATGCAGCCATTCTCTGTGCAAAGCACAAACAACGGCCTATTAGAATGTGAAGGAATGCTGGGGAGCGGAAAATTTTCATTTAGGTTGGCCTCATTTTGTTTGCCTCTTTAGCCTTTAGCCCTGGTAGAAAATGACTCACAAGCTCTTTTTACAAGACAAACTGTGCCGGCAAATCAACGTAACATTACCGCAATAGTGTGTTTGATAAACGGCGTAGTGCGAATTTTGCTGCATTTGTTGCGCCTTGCTTGGTAGTAATTTTGCGGTAATTGTCTGTGCTATTAACAGCGATTGCACCTTGCCACAACAGAGGAAGATGTCAAATGGAGTAGCAAATGTGTGGCGACCCCCAACTGGAAAGAGTATATAAACCACATAAACATGGGAAAGTTAGTAAACAAGCAGCGGACATGGCTAATTGGAGTGACATAAGATCTGTGAACTTCTGTCTTTACATTCAGAGGCAGAAGTAGCCAGACAATTCTCAGGAACTGTGACGGACAGCCACCTCTTTGAGGGTTTGTCTAAAACACTCAAGGAGCGTGGCTTCAGCCGAGACAGAGAACAGATCACATCAAAACTCAAAGGATTGAAGAAGTTTCACTTTTCACTGTTTCTTTTTACATGAGAGTGCAGCCAGGTAACCTGAAAAATAAATCCTATTCAGATGTAGCTGATCACCTGAGGCCTTTTCAAGAGTCTGGCTTGTTTTCAACACCTGAAAAGCAGCTTCTTCACAGCTATTATGAACCTTCTTTTGGAACCTGGGCAATCGGAGCCTGCATTGCAGTTAACCTGCATTATTCCCCCAAAATTGTTTGAGTTGCAATAGAAAACATCCACAAAAGGCCTGTGCGTTTGAAGGTTTATTGTTTTAATAAAACCATAATGCTTTCTTGGATTGCCTGAGCACTTTGTGGCCCTTTTGTAAAAAGGGCTTCTGTTGAATCTGGTCAACTGCACTTGCCCACCCAAAATAATTTATGACTGACTTTGTGAAGACTTCAGATAAGCACACAAGTTGTGATTGCAACATAAGCTATAAAGGCTACAAACATAGTAATTATTAAAAAAAATCTGGTTTTACAGATTCCTGTATGCTCCTGTCATTATATCCTGCATGTAGCCTCTGACTGAAGACACTCTTGTTGAGTATTCTTGTGTCTCTGGTTTTTCTCTAGCTGCGTCTTTACCTGACTGCTAGAAAAAAACAGGCAGGAGGGGAAGGTGAGGTGAGCACCAGCATTTCTTGAAGTGATTTACAGAACATAGACAAACAATCACAAGTTATTAGGAATGCTAGGCGAAAACAACAGTGCCAAATGGCAGCTCTCTGAGAGTTCTAGTGATAAGGAAACTAATTCAATATGTTAGTAGGTAGCTTTACCCTATCTGACCTAGGGATCTACTAACTCAAGATTTTTTAGAAAAAAGTGTCATTAATTACATTTAAAAATGTAAGCTAACCTCCCAATACTGTGATTATATGTTCAAAGTTTTAACTACACCATTTAAACCTTCTTACTGTCTTAAATTGTGATTTCATTCCTTAAATATGGTCAGATGTTTACTTAGATTTACACTAAAAGTGTCTGTCTTGCATCATAATGAGGTGAAGGTGGGTACTGCAAATACAGGCTCCAAAAGTCAATAGTCTTTGATAAGGTCTTTTCATTGTGTGTTTTTCTGATGCATGTCTTTTCAGTTCTTGTTTACTGTCATTTCCATTTTAAATGTCATTGTCAGAATGGGGGTGTAATTCTTGCAAGACAAGCTTTGTGCTAAATGTTGACTTGTTTATAGGTTTAGGCAATGCAAGAAAAACTTCCTACACAAATGCTATTTGTTTTCTAGATGTAAGAAATACCACTGACTTCAAAAGGGTCAATTTGTTACATCATAACACATTTGATTTTAAATCAAAAGGTCAGCACAAAACAGACACGTTTAAAATCACTATGAAAGAAATTATTAGATTTAAATATCACATTCATCCTAATAAATTAGAATTGCACAAAATTAAAGCCTGAGCTTTTTCAATTCAGAAGGACCAGTGAAAAGAAAAAACGTTTTCAAAGTTGATTTAAAAGTTGCTAGACTTGGAGCAAACTTTAAGTCTTAAGGAAACTAATTCAATATGTAAGTAGGTAGCTTTACCCTGTGTGACCTAGGGGTCTACCACCTTTCTAAGGATCTTGGCTTCTTACTGGATGTAGATATTACAAGGGAGGTCTAACTATATTTTGTCATGAAGTGATTTAGAAAACAGCAGTTGTACTTTTGATTAGCTAGCTGTAAATGCATAGTTCAATCTAAAAATTTAAGAATAGGAGTGTTTTGCTCAGTTATTTAGGTTCTTTTTAAAACTATGGCTGCAGTGTTCTGAATAAATTGCAGTTTTGACATGATCAGAGCATAAAAACATTACAACTGTCCAGTCCTAATTTCAGCTTGAGAGCTACTTTAATGTCACAATGTTCACATGTGTTACTAAACGTTCATATTCATCATCATTTGGTGAAATAACCTATTTCTAAACCCTACCAGAGAAAAAGTGTATAGACAGATAAAAATGTGCCAAAAGTGATTCTGCTCTTACAAAGATTTCATTAAAATGTTGTTGTATTAAAAAAAACATATATTTACTCAATAGAGGTTTGGTGTTCTTGTAAAATGTGATGATGTTAAACCAACTTTTAAACTTTTACAAATAGAAGAGAAGTTATATAAGTTCATTTCTTAAATGTTGTTTTCTCTGACTTACAGGAAAGCCACACCCTTGCATTTAGCGTATCAATAGGTGGGCGGTAACCTGGCCCACCTCTTTGGTGATAAAAAGGTCATGCTGTTCAGCCACTGTGCCATTTACTTGGTAAAACCTTTTTGGGTCAAAACTTTCTCAGTTTTTGCTGTGAAGTGGAAGCCATCTTTTACTTTTAGTAGCTTTGTTTGTGCATTTCTCCATCTTCTTTGAAGATTTTGTTTCCTGATTTGCCAACTACAACCGCTACAACCTGCCAAGGTAAGGTTTCAGAAATACATATTAAACTAAAAATGTTTATGGGTATAACTGTTTATAAAGAAAGCATCTATGAGTGTTTTTTTAAATAAAAAGTGAACCCAGATATGGCAGTTTTTCTGATCCATTGCAATGTCACTGGAACAGCTCCAAATACTTAACTAGTTTTGGTGCAAATTCATTCAAAGGGGTTAGAGTTAAGATGTTTTGCTTCTCATCAAAGCTTCAACAACAATGTAATAAAACTTCTCGGTGAGAAACAAAACATTTTCAAGAAAGCAATTAAGTCCAGTTATGTTCATTTGAACACAATCCTATTGGATTACCATGACCTGGATGACTGAGAACTCTCAACAGCATTTTGGTGTACATTAGTGAAGGGTCTCAGTTATGGGGTTCTTTGGTTTCGTGAAGACATTTTGCTTCTCATCTGAGGAGCTTTGTTGTGTCTAAGTGGAATATGGGAGAGTCAATCTTATACGCTGTACATGTCTTATTCTTCAACGAGGTGAAGACTGCAGTTCACCTACACCTGAAGGACAAGGGACACTCCTGACAAAGCTTACATTCTGGACAGAGAAGATATATGGTTTGATGGAGGAGTAAAATAAGCTATCTATGTCAAATGTGGGAAGAAAAACCTTTAACTAGAGATGGGGGAGCTTTGATTTCACCTTTCCAGTACCTATAATTTAGCTGAGCTGATAATCAGTGCTGGGTAGCGTACATCACACCCAACAACACTGAGTTTGTCATAAATATTGCGACTGAAGTGGAGTTCGCTGCGGCTCTTTCCTCTGTTCTAAATGATGGTGAGGATGGACTCTATAGTGGTGTAGAACTGCCTCATTGACTGTGGTGATAGGTTGAATTTCTTCAGCTGCCTCAGGAAGTACATCCTCTGCTGGGCCTTTTTTCCTGATGTAGTGATGGTGGGCTCCCACTTGAGGTCCTGGGTGATGGTGGGGCCAGCTGGGGCCAGCTTTTCAGCACAGTACTTTAGAGTGGTAGGAACCACACCATCAGGGCCCCGGGGCTTTTCATGTGTTAAGAGACCTGAACTGCTTGTTTACAGCTGCTTCATGAATGTGTAGGTTTGTGATGAAGGTGTGTGAAGACCTCATGAGTGGGGAGTGAGGGGGAGGGTGATGAAGGTAAATTCCAACATTTTCAGAGAATTGCTGCTGCATTTTGTCATGATGCTGGTGTTTTGCTTTGACCAATTCTTTGCTGAACCTGTATTTAGTGTCTCTGTAGGAGTCCCCCCCCCCCCCCCTCCCCCTTTTAATTGCATCTCACTTTTCAAACCACAGCTGTTTGAGTTTAGGGGTAAACCAGGCTTTGTCATTATTATATCTCACCCTGGTGTGTGATGGTATAATGCTGTCCTGACAGAAGTGGATGTAGGAGGTGACGGTATCTGTGAACTCATCTAAAGTGTCTGAGGTGGCCTTTATTACCTCCCAGTCTGTGGTCTCAAAGCATGAGCGAAGCTCATCTGCAGCATCAGTGTTCCACTGTCTTGTTGACTTCACAACAGGCTTGGAGAGTTTTAGCCTTTGTTTGTAAGCTGGGATCAGATGGATGGTCAAGTGATCAGAGTCCAAGCGCAGCGCGCGCCACTGCATGACAGGTTCCTGTTACTGTGCTGTAACAGTGATCCAGGGTTTTCTCCTCTCTGGTAGTCACGGAGTTCTTTGGTTTCGTGAAGACATTTTGCTTCTCATCTGAGGAGCTTTGTTGTGTCTAAGTGGAATATGAGAGAGTCAATCTTATACGCTGTACATGTCTTATTCTTCAACGAGGTGAAGACTGCAGTTCACCTACACCTGAAGGACAAGGGACACTCCTGATAAAGCATATATTCTGGACAGAGAAGATATATGGTTTGACGGAGGAGTAAAATAAGCTATCTATGCCAAATATGGGGAAAAAAAACTTTAACTAGAAATGGGGGGCTTCGATTTCACCTTTCCAGTACCTATAATGTAGCTGAGCTGATAATAAGCGCTGGGTAGCGTACGTCACACACAACAATGCTGAGTTTGTCATAAATATGGCGACTGAAGTGGAGTTCGCTGTGGCTCTTTCCTCTGTTCTAAATGATGGTGAGGATGGACTCTATAGTGGTGTAGAACTGCCTCATTGACTGTTGTGATGGGTTGAATTTCTTCAGCTGCCTCAGGAAGTACATCCTCTGCTGGGCCTTTTTTCCTGATGATGGTGATGGTGGGCTCCCATTTGAGGTCATGGGTGATGGTGGGGCCAGCTGGGGCCAGCTTTTCAGCACAGTGCTTTAGAGTGGCAGGAACCACACCATCAGGGCCCCAGGGCTTTTCATGTGTTAAGAGACCTGAACTGCTTGTTTACATCTGCTTAATGAATGTGTAGGTTTGTGATGGAGGTGTGTGATGTGAAGACCTCATGGGTGGGGAGTGAGGGGGAGGGTGATGAAGGTAAATTCCACAGTGATGGTGATGGCTCTGTAGTGAGGAGTGGCTGACCAATGTCTCTATTGTTGGGGCTGGACGAGGAGTGAGGCCTGCCTGATGGCACATCAAACCGACAATAGAAATTGTTTAGGTTTTTTTGCCAAGAGCAGATTATCGGTGGAGGTGGGGGTTCTGGGTTTGTTGTTGGTGATGTTCCTGAAACTTTTCCACACAGAGGTTGGGTCATTTTCAGAGATTTGCTGCTGCATTTTGTCATGATGCTGGTGTTTTGCTTTGACCAATTCTTTGCTGAACCTGTATTTAGTGTCTCTGTAGGAGTCCTTGTCCCCCCTTTTGAATGCATCTCTCTTTTCTAGCCACAGCTGTTTGAGTTTAGGGGTAAACCAGGCTTTGTCATTGTTATAACTCACCCTGGTGTGTGATGGTATAATACTGTCCTGACAGAAGTGGATGTAGGAGGTGACGGTATCTGTGAACTCATCTAAACTGTCTGAGGTGGCCTTTATTACCTCCCAGTCTGTGGTCTCAAAACATGGGCGAAGCTCATCTGCAGCATCAGTGTTCCACTGTCTTGTTGACTTCACAACAAGCTTGGAGAGTTTTAGCCTTTGTTTGTAAGCTGGGATCAGATGGATGGTCAAGTGAACAGAGTCTAAGCACAGCGCGCACCACTGCATGACAGGTTCCCGTTACTGTGCTGTAACAGTGGTCCAGGGTTTTCTCCTCTCTGGTTGGACATTCGATATACTGTTTATATTTGGGAAGCTCCTGGCTCAGACTTGCTTTGTTAAAATCTCCAAGTACAATGATGAGGGAGTCCGGGTACGTCTGCTCCATACACAGTATCTCTTCAGCGATTGCACGCTGAGCCTTGTGCACGTCCGTGTCAGGTGGGATGTAAACAGCGCCTAGAATGAATGAGGCGAATTCCTGCGGAGAGTAAAATGGTTTTCAGTTTGTGAAAAGATATTCCAGAGATGGAGAACAATGCTGCACGATCACTGTGACATCTGTGCACCAACCAATATTCATGCAAAAACACACACCTCCACCTGTGGTCTTGCTGGTGAGAGTCGCTTTGCGATCGGCGTGGATGAGGTGAAACCCCTCCAGCTGGAGCGCGCAGTCGGGGGTGTCCTCACTGAGCCATGTTTCAATGAAGCACAGAACCCCAGATGAGGAGAAGTCCCTGTTTATGTTCCTCATCAGGGTCAGCTCGTCCATTTTGTTGCGGAGTGAGTGCACATTAGAGAGGAAGATCCCAGGTAGAGCCGAGCGCAGTCCCCGTCTCCTCAGACGCACTAGAACGCCCGCTCATTTATCTCTCCTCCTGCGTCTCACTTTCCTGATCAAAGTTGATATTGAATCGGCCACAGATGCAACAAAAAAAGAAGCAAGAAAAACAGTGCACCAAATTACGAAGGCAGTCATCTGCGGCACCATTTTGAATCCCTCACAATAGAGGCTAGCGACTCATCAGGTGATGGAGAGCCTAGGAACCCACAGTAGTTTGGGATCGTTGAATAACAATAAACAGCTACAGCTTATAGGCTTGACTCTCCCATATTCCAGTTTGAAGTGATGGATGAGAAGAGAAATGTCTTCAAGAAACCAAAGAAGTCCAGTTGTCTTCATTTGAACAACTTCAAATATAAATACATACAAAGAAATACTAATGACCAATAACAAGACAGGTCTTTATTGCTTAATAGGTATTCTGTCCATTAAGTAGAAGATATACATTCCCTCAGGTTTCTATATCATCTATTTAATAGAATAAATACATGATATTACATTAGTGTGTAATGTATTTGATTAGTGATAATGCATAGTGCTGAATTTATGGTATTTTTTTTCCATTTGTAGATGCCTCGTGGCAAAGGGTACCGTAAAGCTCAGGCCTTGAAGAGCAGACAGTTTATGCCGAAGCCTGTGGAGGAGCTGTTCGAGGTTGTGCCAAGCTGTACGGCTTTTACTCCACGTAAGTTACATATTTAGTTATTTTCCAAAACATCAAATGTTTTTTTGAAAGTCTTTGTTGCATATTTTGAAACTGACATGGTGTATGCATACTGACAAAATTCAGATAAATTAATATGACCCACTTTACAATTACATATTTACATAACATTGATATTGTGTTAATTTATTTTTTATCTTTCCATTAGGTCACGGAACAGGCTTCAGGCACAGGGTTTGTCGTTGGCCCTTGTCGCCTAACACAGGCAAAAGCTTGAAGGTTGTCATCCCACCAGAGTCTTCAGACAAGAAGGTACATTTAGCTATTAATTTATATTAATATTAAAGAATATTATGTGCTTATAGGTTCACACACAGATTGCTATGCATTCTTTAGTTTCTAAAGTGCTTTGCGATTTTTATCTTCAGAGGTCCTTCATTAAACAATTGTTTCTTCTTCTAGTTTGTTTTCGTCATTGGAGATTCACATCTTCGAGCCATTGTGGATGGCTATGTGAAGGTGCCTGAGGGAAAGCTGTCCTTTGGCTACCTGTCGGTTCCTGGTGGTACAGCAGCCCACCTTACCACTGAGGTCCGCCAGTTAGTTCTCCCACGTGTTCCAGATGTTGTGTGTCTGCTCGCTCCAAGCAACAACCTGGACAGTCCAATTTCTGAAGCAGAAAAAGACTTCAAGCGTCTTTTGAACACCATTTCCACTCTTTGTCAAAATGTAAGGATAGACGTAATTACAAATAATGTGCCATTAGAAAAGCAATTACTGAATCAAATTTATATTCTGGTGCTTTCTTCTAGAATGCTTTTTAATGACATGTAAAATTTGTGGAAAACAGGTCTTTGTTTTGGATTTCCCTCCAAGACTGAGCCATGACACAGTTGTGCAGGACCATCTGAGGATGATGTTTCATAGAGTCTCAGTACAAATGGGTATGTTGAATTTTAGTGTGGAATATACAAAATGCTTCTAACTGGAAAAACTAATTGTTAACGAAATATATTTCTTTCAGATGTCCCATACTCATCAATTGCTGAGAACTTCCCCTTTCATCGCCTGGATTTGTGGGGCAGAGATGGGGTAAGTGAGAAGCTTACTGAATTTTAATGATTAAGAGGTATTAGCTTTAGCTAAAAATGTGTTATTTTCTATAGGTTCATCTCAGTGACAGTGATGGTATGGACATTTTTGCACAATTGCTCTGGCAAAAAACATACCTGCACCTCCAAAGTCAGAAGGTCCAGGTTACCTCCAAGAAGTCTGCTGCTAGAGTGGTCGTTGAAGATGCAAAGGCCATTCAACCCCAAGCAGAACAATCTAAGTGGAGAGTTGTTTTGCCTGGCAAGAAGGTAAATTGTTTTTTCTATGTTTTTATTTCAACTGCAGACATTAATTGGCTGTTTAGATTTTCAACAATCATGTAATATAAAAATGTCATTAATTTTTTCAGAGGTCTACTCCAGCTGGTCCAAAGGAGCAGAGATCATCTTCAAAGAGAATTCTTCTTCATGAGGTAAATGATTAATTTTAACTCTTTGATGAATTAGATCATTCTTTTTTTTATTTGATGTTCGCCATGTTGATTGATATGGGTTTTTCTAATATTTTCTACATCACAATGTTCAGGCCGAAGTCTGCTTTGAGGTGAATCCTAAATATTTCCATGAAGATCTGCTGCATGTCTTGGAAAAAGACAGTACTGGAAGTCCAGATGTGCTTTCACCAGATGTCCAACACAAAAAGGTAAATATGAAGAAATATGTTTTTTCATTGAAGCGTTTTGATATGAATCTTTAATTCATTATTAATTTGAGATATTTGTCACCTAAGAATTTGCAATATGTTCATATTTTGATGACAGGTGGTACAACCTGAAGGAAAGCCAGTGTCCTCTGGAAAAGACAAAAGTGTTGTCAACATGCAGGTTTGTCTTTTTTATCATTTTTTTTTCTATTTGTTGGTCAAGCCCTCCTGTAAAACATGCACAAAGTAATTACATGTATTGTATACTGTTTTTATTTCAGGGACAGGCAACAATGATCCAGAAACCTCCTGCCACTACAACAGCACCAATAAAGGAGCAAGTGATCATGCCCTCTGATGATCATGAATGGCCAACACTTGCAGAGAGTTTAAAGGTAATTAAGATTTACACTCACAATGCTTTTACAATATAAAGTAGTAATATTGCTTAAGAGATACACATTTCTACAATAATGGAAAAATTAACATAAAACCTTGAATGACATTTTCTTTCAGACATCTCACATTCATCCTAAAGGCTCACGTGGCACACTGATGTCTCGTCATCAGGTGAATAAACTCTCATTCAAAGAAACCAAATCAGTTTTGTTGCCTTTATTTGAAACCTTTGGACTACAATGACTCCTTTCATTTACTTACAGAAGTACCTGAAGGACTGCAGTGTGGTCCTTCAAAAGCTGAAATTGAAAACTGATGACGCCAGTGTGCCATCACCAGCTCCCAATGGCAAAACGGTGAGATCTATGACTTTTTTTCATTGAATGATGCTCATTCTAAAGTTTTTACTCAAATACTTATATTATTTGCTTATTTGAATAAACCTTTTCATTTTAAAAGTATGCAGCTGCTGTCCAAGACCGAAGATCGGTTTCACACACAGATGTCACCAAGGACCAGGTCTGACATCGGATTTTAATATGATTGTTGTTATTGACATCATATCATGTGCTTAACAAATAATTTTAAATTTCACAATAATAGAATATATTGTAAATATCCTGATGTGATTTCCAACAGCTTTGCTGTCACTCCCAGGAGCATTTGAAAGACTGCTCTGAGGTTCTACACCATCTCCAGATGAACGACAAATACAGTGTTCCATCGCCTGTACCAAAAGACAAAACGGTAGGACCTATGACATTCTGATTATTGATGTTTAATAGCATACTTAATCCTACACATATTCTTTCCACTACATATATTTCCTACATGTTATAAAACTTTTTTATTTTAACAGAATGCAGATGATCTCAAAGACCAAGGACCTGTTGACCTAGGAGATGCTACAAAGCAACAGGTTAGATATTTTCCCCTAGTGAAAACATGCCCATTTTATTCATAGATTTTCTTCTAATTTTTGAGTCTTTATGTTTTCACAGGAATGTAAGGAGACGAGTGTTCAACCTGAGAAGTTCCATGATGCTCCTGGTGCTGCAGCTTCAAGTGCTACCATTGCATCTTCCTCATCAAATCAGGAAAGTTTGAACACTTTTCATTCTATTGTCAAAGGTTCATTTCATCAAGGCCATAAGCGTTTTGGGTGCAACCGATTTAAACAGTGTGCACCAAACAGCATTACAGCCATCATGACAAACACTGTCAAAATGGCTTCCACATGGTCAAGAAAAGACATTAACAATATCTTGATAAGTGGTGATAGTTTATACACTTACATGAAAGAGCAAAACATGATCAGTGATGCAGAAGGCAGTGGTTATGTTTTTGTTCAAGAATTACCCACAGAGCACACATTCCATCATCACAAGTTCTCTTTGGAATACATGCAGACCTTCACAGGACATCTTCATCAGCAGATTTACCATGAAGATGTTTCAGATTTTGCCATGCCTTTGGACGTTGCATTACAGAGAGCTATATTTGACAATGACGGCTGTCTGTTTACAATTAGTAGAAACACATGTGCGGTTTTGAAAGAACAATCTCAGTTTTCTGTTTTTGATCCACATTCACGTGGTCATGATGGTCTCTGGCAGTTGAATGGCACAAGCATAGTAGCACACTTTGATACTTTAGACCAAGTTTATACGCATTTAATCAATCTCTCTCACTCTTTGTGTGCTGACAATGCAAATGAAGAGGACACAGCTTTTGAAATGACCGGTGTTAAGGTGACTGCTCAATCTATGAGTAAACCTATCCAAAGGAAAACTGCTTCTTGCCAAAATGATGTAGAGTTAATCAGTGGAAATGATGATAGTTTTGATGACGATACATTTGATCAGTTAGTACTTGAAGAGATTGAACATGTTGCAGTTAGTGACACATCTGAGTCTCTTTTTGAATCTCCATCTCGTTGTGAGCTCATCCATATGCAAAATAGATCTTTTCAAGATGATGCAGAGTCAATATGTACTAGTTTTGATGATGATAGTTTTGATAAAGTAGTACTTCAGGAAATAGACGAAATTGCAGTTAATGACACCACTTCCCTTGATGTAGACTCAGTAACTGAAAATCATCACACTTCTTTGGATCAAGCAATAATTGAAGAAGTACCACAAAATGATACATCTGTTTTCATAGTTTCAGAAAATATCAACAGCACTGTTACTTTCAATCCTCTGACTTCTAAAGACAAAAGAAACTTTTGCTCCCAACTACAGATAGTTCCAAGTTTAGAAAGGGTGAAAAGTCTTTGGGAAAGTATAACATTAGATGAACCGTTACCTTGTACCACTATACACATCCAGCCAGACGGCAACTGCTTTTTCCGTGCTCTTGCATTTGTAATTACTGGGAATGAAGAGTTGCATAGGTCGATTCGCAGGGCTGTTGTTAATCAAATTCTTCAAAATTCTGACCTCTATTCAAGTTACATCAGACAGGAATTTGAATCAGTACAGCAGTATGTTACACAAACAGGAATAAGGAAAGTTGGATCCTGGGCTACAGAGATTGAGATACAAGCAGCTGCAGACTTTTTTCACACCCATATTTACACTTACACTCAAGGAAAATGGTTACAATATGGCTCTTCTAGTACTTTAGACAACACCAAGGGTATTTATCTGAAACACTGTAATGAATGTCATTATGAGCCAATCGCATGTGTAAAAGCTAAAACTAACACATGTTTTAACCTAATCTCATGTAGTTACTGTCACTTTAAAGGTGATAAGGACATACTATCTCCATCTAAGATAAGCAGAGAGAACAGGAGAAAGAGAACTCTGTATAATGAAGACATTGAGAAAAGGGAAAGCAAAATATTCATGTTACAGAAATTGTATAAGGACAATCCTAAGTACAGATTACACAAGAAGCAATTAAGTGTCATTACATATAGAAATAAGCCAGACCTGAGAGCTAGACTCAGACATGACAGTAAAGAAAACTACAGAAACAAACCTGAACTGAGAGCTAGACTCAGACTTGCTAATAAACAAAACTACTACAAAAAGCCTGAACTGAGAGCAAGACTCAGACATGACAGTAAAGAAAACTACAGAAACAAACCTGAACTAAGAGCTAGACTCAGACTTGCTAATAAACAAA